AGTTGTCTCATGAAATCAATAACATGGTCTTGAGAAGTGCTTTCCCCATTTCCCATACATACAAAATAAAAAATAATAAAAATGTTGATTACATATAAAGTCTAGATATTGGGCATTTCTTTGGGAGAGTATCATGCAAGGGAGACTATTGAGAATTTAAGCAGGTCATCATATGTATACTTTTTAATTTCAGAGTCTTCAACGAATGAATTACATAACATATGACCTTCACTGTCAAAAATGTTAGGTTATCTGTTACCATTTCTGTACTCTGAAAAATGGTTTCTCTACAATATAGTTCTTATAATACCAAAGAAGCCTGCTAATCCATATCCTTAAAGAGAATTTTTGGTTTGCGCGATGCCAGAGATCACTGCTACAAGTCTTTAAATTTATAAAAATGGATTACAAATAAAATAAATGACAGAGCAAGCTAATGTCACTTTGAAATTATCTGAATGAATTTAAAATATTCAAATAATAATCTTAGCTATTGACATCTATTGTAATATGAATAAAATATGCTGGAAATTTAAAATTTTTCAGTCAAATGGATATAGTTTGAATCATAAGCAATGTGAAATACAATATAGGACTTCATCTTTTCCATTTCTTGTTGACTTTATTTGAATGAATAATATGAGGATATTGAGGGGTTTTCTTTCCTTCAGTTCAGCATATATAATCACCCCTTTCTTTTTCCTTAAACTTTGAACTTTTGACAGTCAGCCTTCTGGGTACATAAAAGAGTTCTTGGGATATAGAATGTAGGCCAAGTTCAGTTTTACTATGGTCTGATGTGTCACTTAGCTTTGTAATGTGACTAATTTTAACAAGACCGCATGGGTTGTTTTGCTTTCATAATTAGATTACTATGCAAACAAAAATGTCTGTGGTCAGAGGGATCTGTGCCTTTTTAGCCTGGAAGTTGGGGGAAAGAAAATCATTCAAGAACTGAAATAATTAATTCTGCATTACGGCTATGTCAATATAGTACTCTGACTCACTCCAAAAGCATAGCACTTTCACTAATTAGAGAGTACACAAATCTTTGGTATTCTTTAGGATACTCTGCAGGGAATGCTACGTCTTAGTGGAGGTCCAACCAAGTGTTCCATTTATAAGTTATGTTTGGAACTTGTGAAAGGAAGGGTCAGTTAGTGGTAGTTGACCTCCATGAATGTCAGGAACTCTGAAAAATTAACTGCCAGTTTTCGGGTTATTTTGTTGATTCTTTGTTTTGTTTGCTTTCTCTTGAATCCTTCATTGACAGAAAAAAACAGACTTTATTATAAATAAATAAATATGCAGTGCATTTTCAAAAATGACATAATTACAATGCTGTATCTTAATGGAATATTCAGCATTATTACTCTCATTACTAGGCATTTTCAATGTCACC